ACAACAACAACAACAACAACAGCCAAATCATCATCAAACGGTTACAAAGGGTTGCTTTCAGGATCCCAAGAACAGAATTAATGGAAGACAATGCAGACTATGGTATGGTACTGCTTCAGATCTGAGCCGCATAGTGCCGAGGCCTTGCGTCGAAACCCTTTGTTGCCACGAATATCATGCCTCCTTTGGCCGAGGCCGCAGCCTGACTATTGAACAAAATCACGATGGCTAGGATGAACAACTGGTTCCCCGTGCTGCTGTCTATGGCAGCCGTTATTACTCCTGCTCGTGCTACTGTTTGTCTTGAAACCTGCAAATCCCAACCCGAAAACACGCAATCTAAAACAAAAAGGACCGCTAAAGAACCAACCCGCTCTTTCTCTACCTCTGCTCCTGAAGCCGAGTGGCTCCAAGGATTGCGCGAGGAAGCGCAGCATGGCCGGGCGGAGAGACGAGCCTCGACCGGCTGCCGAGCATAGGATCCAGTGAAGGCCCAGGGCTTGGGCTTTAGGGTTTAAGGCGTGGTAATGTCATTGTTGCTCGCTGTTGTGCGCACACCCAGGCCGCTCGCACCTGTGCATAGCAGACAGCCCACCCCAGCATTTAGGGTTCAGTTCTATAGGCATCGCAGCGGGAGTGTTGGCATCGCCGACGTGGTGGTTACGTTCAAGGAGGCCCCAGGCAGAATCGAAAGCAGCACTGCGTGTCGGTTTTCTGTGAGGCTCGGGTTTAGGGTTTAGGGTTCGGGAGGGCTTGGGACTCAGGGCTTAGGCCTCAGCTCAGGGTTTAGGATTCAGGTTGCAGCTGTCAGGGGCTTGGGATTTCTGTTTACAGACCTACAATGCCAAGGAGCCATAGTGTCAAGAAACCTCCATATGTGTGTGTGTGTGTGTGCATCAGTCCTTGATCACATGCAGACTCTTGTCTCGTATATGTCTGTATGTGTATGAAGGTTATTCGCATATTATATACTGTAAACGCTTCGTGACACCTGAACCATAAATTCCTTCTGGCTTCATGTGCTCATCATGGTCGCTAGGGCCTTATAGTATGCGTCTGGCATGAGTACCGGGGCTTTAGAATGAACAGTCGGCAATAGACCGTGCGAATGCTATCCTTCCCGTTTGCCCGCGTTTGCCCCGGACAAGCGAGTTCAAAGGAGCAATCCGAAAAGTCCGAGTACGGACCGCATGATACACAAGTGCGTGCACCTGCGTGACGCAGGTGTTACCTGGCTTCGGGTATCATCCTATTGGTATTAGAGCCCGGAGGCCTAAACTTGATTGAGAGGCTTTGAACAATCTCGTGCAAGGCATTGCAAATGTATCCGAGTAGAACCCGAAGAGGCTTTGGGTTCCAAAAGCGCTTGATGTATGTTGGGGAGCGAAACAATAAATCAAGGCCTCTACGTAATCATCCTGAGCCAGAACTAGAAATGAACCTCAAACCTTGAGCCCCAGTCCTAGAACCCGAACTCCAACACAAGAAGATTTCCAGGGTTTTGACTTGAGGGTTGTCAGGAATAGGGCTCCAGGTTTCGAACCCAAGATTCGGATCCTCAAGGATTCCAGGGCCCCTAAGCCTTGAGACATCCGAGAAGTTCTCATATTTCTCATGGGAAGCGAGCGACGGGTTGATGGATCCCATGGGACATGCCCGCCATCCGGCACCTCTCGCTAGGCTGGAGGCGCTCAGGATTTCGAGGCTATACGAAACCAAACCGTATTTTCTACAGTTTCCCCGACACGTCCTGCATTGAGCCTCGTAGTTTCCTGTTTACAGATTGTCAGCCCGGGGGCTCGGGGTGCGGAGTGCGAGGCTACAGACCTGGGTAAACAAGTTGTGCTGAGGAAAACAACAACGGATTCAGCAGCTGCAATCCTTAACCCAGCGACGGCCAAGCCTTAAGTATTTGAGCTCACTGAGGTGCTGTCTTTCAAGCTTGTGTGCAAACCGGTATTCCAAGCTGCTTACAAGGTCTCCTGCATTGTGACAGCCTTCCTCAGGGTCATTGGGGGGATTTGTGAAAACCTTTTCATAGTGAGATCCGTACGTTGACGTTGGCAGAGAAAACCCGGCGGGGCGCCCAAACGAGGCGGTTCTCGGCAGCCGACAAGCCCCGCGCCAGCAGAAACGTATGGGTCATCACCTGTCGAATGGAGATCTTTGCAAGGATCTACCACAACTGGGCAGTGTCTTTCCCAGCGGTACACAGGCTAACATGCAATGTACGGATGCAAGGATTGCTGGATGGGATGATGGCTGGATGGATCTATGGATGTATGAATGCGTGCGTGCATGCACGTGTGTATATTTAATATGTATGTTATATGTGTGCATGCATGCGTGCGTATGTATCTCTCAGTCCGTCCGTCCGTCCGTCCGTCCGTCCGTCCGTCCGTCCGTCCGTCCGTCCGTCCGTCCGTCCGTCCGTCCGTCCGTCTGTCGTCTCTCTGTCCGTAGGTCTGTCTGTCTGTCTCTGTCTGTGTCTGTCTATCTCTGTTTGTCTCTGTCTGTCCGTGTCTGTCTCGGTCTGTCTCGGTCTGCCTGTGTCTGTCTGTGTCTGCCTTTCTGTCTCTGTCTCTGTCTCTGTCTCTGTCGGTGTCGGTGTCGGTGTCGGCGTCTGTGTCTGTGTCTCTGTCTCTCTGTCTCTCTGTCTCTCTGTCTCTCTGTCTCTCTGTCTCTCTGTCTCTCTGTCTCTTTGTCTCTCTGTCTCTCTGTCTCTCTGTCTCTCTGTCTCTCTGTCTCTCTGTCTCTCTGTCTCTCTGT